CAATGTGAAACTGACGCCCAGGCCAGCACTGTTTCTATTCAGCAGTTATACAAATAATTTGGGGTAAGCAGTCAAATATTTCACCACACAGCCACATGGAAACTGGCAGACGGTGTGTCTAGTGGTGCCTCCTAAATATTGTAACTGGTTGTGTAGTACTGGGAGCAATAACTACACAACCAGGGTTGTGTAGTTATTGCCCTCGACTGACAGCTTCAGGGAGGTAAGGCCAAGACAAAACACGCCACATGAAAAATGTTTGGAATTAGATACGAACAAAAATGGCATATTTCACTGACTGAAGATCAATCTACAAGCTTTTCCATACGTAGGACTTATTGCTGAAGGTCAGAGCAATCTACTTTGTCCTCACAGTAAGAGTGCAGCTTTGTGTCTTCAAGTTTTCTGGGTTTTTGTTTAGTTGTTTGTTTTCTCCAGTCTCACATTAGCTTTAACCTGTGACTGGCTGACTAGTGGACATGAAGCAAGCAGAGACACTGGGCGACTGTACCAGTCTGTCACTAAGAACAAGCATCAGGGCACACTGTTATGTCACAGACGTCTGGTGCAAACAGCTAAAGCTTGAGTTTGATTGCTGTAACTATTCTCTCGTGATTATTCTTAATCATGCACAGGTCAGGTAATAGTTAAACCACTTTGCACTTTAATGAAATGTACCTCTGTACATTGCACATTGTGCCGTTCAGGGTTCAATTCAGGAGTTTCCCAGTTGGGGCTTATCATCTTATTAGTCACTGACTGGTCACAGATGCTACCCTCTTTAAAAATACCAGCTGCTGCCAGAGCTACTTATAGCTGCACATTTGCTATCAAACCTCCGACCCTGAGGTCAAGCTCACTGAGAATCAAACTCTTTCAGGATTTTCAGTAGACGCACCAACTGTATCGATTTGAAAATCCTAGACGACTTAGTTATGATATCGTTTTTGTGTTCACAAGAGTGTTAGAGAACCTGACCTCTGACCTTGAGGTCACTGAGATTTACTCAAAGCTTCCTGTTTACTTGAGTTTTATTCAGTTTTTGCTGAATGTATTTGTTTGGCTTCAATATGATGTAAAAATAAGTAGTTTACATAATCTGGTTTATTTAAGAGGGCGCCATCAACAGCGACAATCCTGAGTGCTTCTATTTCTGCCTGCTGATGGCGAACGACGGTTAAAACAGCAACAAACCTTTTGTCCTTTGGGCATGTACTGGTGACTAATTTCAGCAACACTGACTAGCTCTTGTTTGTAGTAAAGCGTGTTCACGTTGCTTGCTTCTCTCTTAAATTATGCCCAAAGTGTTGGAGTTTTATTTAGTTGAAGCTAAATTAAATGAGTCCTACTCAGTCTGCACACATACGATGTAGGAAAGTCTAAGAAATCTCATTTTAAACAGAGACTAGATTACAAACTGGAACCTGCCGTGGAAAACTGGCATGAAAGTGAAAATAATTAGCAACTGACGTGAGCAACTTAGCAATCGCTCTGCATATACGCAATATACAACGGACTATTAGTTGAAAATATAAATTAGTCATGTTTCTCACAAACAACGAGCCAGGTGAAAGGAGCAGGAAGTACGTTTCCAACCTGTCCTGTGATGTCAGTGATGTGATTGCAGCCATCGTAATAATGAAAACATGAGGTGCAGCAAAGCAGACTCACGGGAAACGAGTCAGACCGAATGGAGTCCATCACAGAGTACACTGTGGTACCTTATCACAGAGATGTACCAGCATTCTAAGGAGAACTTGCTCATCTGTGTTATGTCAGTTCTGCTGCACTATCCTGTATCTGTGTGGCAGTGTAGGACACATTAGCTGTCTTTGGAAATCGGCTGTCCCAGTTTATTCTCAGCTTAGTCTCAGCAACGCGACTCTAACTTCTGCACACCATGAGAACCAGTTACAGGACTGGTGCCACATAAATACAGACAGACAAAGTGTCTACAGACCGAGGAACGGGTCTACAGAGTTCCTCCCCTCTCTGTGGCAACGAGTCGTCACTGTTGGCCCAACAGACCTTAACTCTTAACGCTAATGAGGAAAAAAAAAAGTCAAAAAAGCAAAAACACCCTCAATTACTTCTTGACAACAGTAGAAATGTGAGGGTGGGACAAGGATCAGGAGAGGCAGGAGGAACTGGGAAAGGAGGTGAGGGTGCAGACTGGGAGGCTGTAATAGGAGGGGTCGGTGAAGGGGAACAGAAGGAGAAAGAAGAGGAGGACCCCCAGCAAATAGGAGGAGAGGACAGTGAGTCGGTAAGGGTGCTCCAGAGCTGTGCTGATGGCAGGGAAACCCATGTAGTTACAGAAGGAGTGGCAAAGTACCGGACCAATCAGGTGGCCTGTAACAGACAGAAAAAACAGCCATTTACTCCCACTGGTTGACAGCGTTACAGCTTCCTTCAGCTTCCCATTCAGCTGTGACAGAAAAACAAATGCTTTGATTTAAAAATAATCCTTTAAATCCTGTAACTGAAAATATTAAAACTGTGTTTTAAAGACAGAAGAGAAAGAGGAAAGAATTTTAGATAATCAGCTAACGTGCAGCTTGGACACCAAACTGCTGAGTGATGAAGAGTATAGTTTATATACAGAAGAGAGCGCTCTCATCCAACTGCCGGCCTGTAACCTACCTCAGTACCACAGTACGATGAACAGGCACACTCAATACATGAGCTACTGGTAGACGGAGCAGTTGCTCCACACTGCAAGGCCACACTGGCCACCCTGTGCACTGTGACACTTTAAACACTCATCCAAGGCCAATGACACCAACGTCCAGCACATAACTGCTACAGCAAATTTAAAAATGACTTCATCACACTTATTAACTTAATGTCTCTAAATCCTGCACATTTAATATTGCTGGAGACAAGGATAAACTATGACGCAGGCTTGTGGAACAAGCTGCAGGCTGCAGTGTCCCGAACAGTTAACTACATATACCATAGGCCTTTATATACGACTGTTTAATATGGAAAACATTTTATTTTTAGGTTTTACTCAATTACAGTGGTATGCAAAAGTTAATTATAAGTTAATAAGTTAATAAGTTAATAATTTTCATGTTTCTCCTTCATAAATCGTTGGTTGTTTGGATCAGCAGTTTCATTTAAACACAATATTTGAGAAGTGAAATGAAGTTTACAGGATTTACAGAAAGTTTGCAATAATTTAGGCAGGTGCATAAATGTGGGCACCCGCGTTGTTTTATTGGTTTGGATGCCTTCAGCACTAATTATAGAAACATAAAATTTGTTTGGTAAGCTCATTGACCCTTGACCTACATACACAGATGAATCCAGTCATGTGGAAGCGTATTTAGGGTGGCCAGTTGCAAGTTTTTCTCCTCTTTGCATCTTCTCTCGAGAGCAGCAACATGGGAGCCTCAGCTCTCAAATGACCTGAAAACAAACCATGTTCAACATCATGGTTTAGGGGAAGGATACAAAAAGCTATCACGGAGATTTCAGTTTCCACTGGGAGGAACATAGTGAGGAAATGGAAGACCACAGGCACAGTTCTAGTTAAGGCCGGAAGTGACAGGTCAAGGAAAACCTTAGATAAGCAGGCGATGGATGGTGAGAACAGTCAGAGTCAACCCACACACCAAATGGAGTCACTGTGCATCGTTCAACTATTCAGCGCACTTTACACAAGGAGATGCTGTATGGGAGAGTAAAGCAGAAGAAGCCTTTTCTGCACACATGCCACAAACAGAGGTTTGAGGTTTGCTAAAGCACATTTGGACAAGCCAGCTTCATTTTGGAATAAAGTGCTGTGGACTGATGAGACTAAAATTGAGTTATCTGGGCATAACAACAGGTGGTATGCATGACAGAAACAGTACACAGCATTCAAAGAGAAACACCTGCTGCCCACAGTAAACTGTGGTGGTGCTTCCATCATGCTGTGGGGCTGTGCCCAGTGCAGGGACTGGGAATCTTGTTAAAGTTGAGGGTCACATGGATTCCACTCAGTATCAGCAGATTCTTGAGAACAATGTTCAAGAATCAGTAACAAAGTTGAAGTTGCACTCGTGCTGGATCTTTCAACAAGACAACGACCCGAAACACTGCTCAGAACCCACTGAGGCGTTCATGCAGAGGAACAAGTCCGACGCTCTGGAACGGCCATCAGCCCAGACCTGAAAATTACTGAAAATCTGTGGTGTGAGTTAAAGAGCTGTCCGTGCTCGGAAACCATCAAACTGAACTGGAGACGTTTTGTAAAGACGAAAGGTCCAAAATACCTTCAACCAGAATCCAGAGTCTTATTGGAAGCTATAAGAAGTGGAGGCGTTATTTCTGCAAAGGTGGATCTCCTAAATATTGATGTATTTTTTCTGTTGGGGTGCCCAGATTCATGCACCTGCCTGATTTAGTTTAAGTAACTATTGCACACTTCCTGTAAATCCTGTAAACTTCGTTTCACTTCTCAAATATCACTGTGTTCGTCTGCTATATGATATATGTAAATGAAACTGCTGATCCAAACAACCAATCATTTATGAAGGAAAATCATGAAAAGGGTGCTCAAACTTGCATATCACCATATATGGCAAATCAAACTTAGGAATATGTCCATATTCAGTAAACCTTCAATTATTTTGTAACTGTAAAAACCCCTCTGTGTGGTCCACAACAGGAAAAAACATCCAGTGCACAAATGATCTTAAATCCTCTTTCACATACAGCAGATATATTTTTCCCAGTAATGCACATTTGTTGGCTCATATGATGGCTGACCTGTGCATTTTATTTTAAAATGACGTACTGGTAAGTTTCTTTCATTTAGTTTATCTCAGGTTAATTACCGCTTCAGGACTGATGACAGACAACATTTCTGTAAACGCTCTTAAGCCCAGGCTTGGACTGCCCGGCTCAGAAAACCCAAACTTAATCATACCACCCAGCGCCGGGCCGACGGGACGCTCCAAGAACAAGAATAGTGAAGGAAAGCCTCTTACCTGTTCTGATGAAGATGAAGGCTGTGTAGGCTCCAAACACTGCCGTGTAGGAAAACTGAAACACTGGTGCAAAACAGAAGAACAGAAGTGCATCTTCCTGCTATCCTGTGATGAAGTCACAATAAACGCAGTGAAAAAGATGTTCTCACCTGCAGAGAGGAAAATACCCAACAGAGTGCCCTGTCTGAACCTCAGCAACTCAATCACATGGTGGAAGTGAGCTGGAAGAGAGGACAGAGCAGGCACTCAGACATGCTGCAGCTTCAACACAGACATTATTGGAACACACTCTGCATTATTTATTATACACACTGCTACTTCCAATCAACACAAAAGTTAGGGGGAAAAAACTTTCCAAAAACACTCAAAGTCGTGGCTTCTTTGTTTGACTTGTGCTCTTACAGCAGCGATATTGTCTGAGTGGCGACAGCATCGTTCAGAAGAAAACTGCAGGGCTTCCTGCGCTGTAATGGTGGGTATAAAGGCTGTCCTGTAAACAGGGTAGCGACAGAGCTCAGATTTTGCCTGTAAGTCAGGAGAGGATGAACCAGGCAGTGATCAGACTACAGCAGATGGGGGACAGAGGTGCTTTTGTCCCTGGTAGGACAGTTCATGTGCTGGCTGAATTCTCGTGTCTGACTCTGTTAAAGTCATGAAGAACAACGAGCAGGGAGTCCGGGTGTTGTCCTCAGTGTTCGGTAGATGATGCGTTGCTAACACAGGCCTAACAAGGTGAACTCCTGTGGAGTATGAAATGATTTAAACTCCGTGATAATGGTCTCTAGGTGAGGGACTGCATCTTTCTTTCCCAACACTGCGCCATCTAAACACCAACCTTTGTTTATATACAAACAGATTTCGCCTCCTCTTTCAGAAAGCTCCGTATAACGGTCCACAAGCAGCCGGGGATGTAGTCACCTATCTAGCTTTTAGTGAAGCACAAAGTTGCAAATCTGGAAAAGTTGATTTTAAGCCTTCGAGTAGCTGCAGCTCATCCGTGTTGTTGGCAGTATATTTGCCAGGTGAATCGAAGCGTGCATCCCCGCCGAGTTTACGGACACTTTGTTTCGCTTCCCTCGTTAGCGTCTCCTGAGCCCGTTCAGAGCTGCTGCTCCTCCAGCTAAGAGCTAAACACTCTGGGTGGCACTGACTCGGCCTGCAGTAACAGCGAGGAATCCTGGAGTCATTTTTGAGAAGGACACATCTTTCAATATTAAACAAATATGCAGGACTGCTTTCTTCCATTGGTGCAATATTTTGTAAATTAGAAGCTCGTGTATTTATTTCTTCTTAGCTGGTTTTACTGTAATTCATAATTACAGTAAAACCAGTAAAACAATTTAACACAATTAACGCATCTGGAGTGCAGAATGACTCAAAATCCCTGAAATGTTTCTGTAAACACATTTCGGGCAGTTTGTCCAAGCAGTTACCTTCGAACATGCAGGCGGCAGTTGATCTGGTAGTGACGGCAGCTGAACCAGTCAACTCAACATGGAAGATGATAAACGCACATCGGCCCTCTCGATGGGACATTTGAGTATTTATTTCAGCACTTTGTGAAGTTTTTAAAACGACTGCATAATAACAGAAAAATAAACAACTTGTGGCTAAGCTGGAAAAAACTTGCACTCACCCACTCCGAAAAAGAGGGGGCAGGTTATGATAGCAGTAGAGGGACCAGCACAGGGCACCAACATGGGCAACATGCATGCTCTGAACACCAGCTCCTCAGTTAGCGGCGCCACCACTTGATTCCTCAGCCACCGCATATCGTTGGCACACAACATCCAGAACCACGGGTCTAGAGGAAGAAGCGAGAGCAACAGGTGTAAACCAAATTTAGAAACGGATCTAAAATCATGAATCAAGAAAACACAGCACAGCTTGTTGGCTCACCAAAGGCCACCCGGATCCCATCGATGAAGCTCCACGGACAATCCATGGCCAACTGCATGAGTGGGCCCAGAAACAGGACCTGCAGCACATGGCCAGACAAATATTTGAGATGTTGCTGCCATTACCAGAGCTGCATATAAAATGTATGTTTTCTCCTCTGTCCACATAATGTCATTCAGCAGTGTAATTGTGAGCACTGACTGAATGACAGTAAAGGAAGCTGAATCTGAAAGTCAAACAAATCCGAGCATCTGTGTCTTTCTTGCATCTCGAGTTTCTCACCTGACTCAAACATCGCCCTTGTTCTTGAAAACCATCACTTCTCTATCTCTAGGTATCCTCCCACTTTCCAAGACTAAATACTTGTGTTAAAAAGTTCACTGAAATCTCTTCTAGACATCCACACACCTCCACAGACATGTCATCTAGACCAGCTGCCAGCGTTGCCCTCGCTGTCCTCCATCCATCCTCTTCACTCTCCTTTTTCTTTCCTCCAGCTCCTCAAGAGGTTCCACCTCTTCACTACATTTGTTCAAGACTCTCTATGACTCTCTGTCTAGCCACATGGTAGAAGTCCTTTTCTCCTTCCTCAGTGTCAAGCCTCACATGTGAGTCACTATAAGCCTTTTTGTTTTTGCCACCAGCCTGTTTGTTGAACTCATAGACTCTGAGTATTTCCGCCTCCTTTCTTCATCTCTCTGGCTACTTTTCTGCTGTGGTTGTAGGTGAATGTAAGTACGAATGAAAGCAACACTAAAACATTTAACTACAGATTCACAGTTCTCAGTATATTTGTATAAATATCACATTTGTGAATATTTTAGGTTGAAAATAAGTGTGTGAACATTAATAAAGTAACAATTTAAATTATTATTTGAAATAGTTTCTATACATTCTCATATTTTGCTCTGAGTGACATTACAAGGACACAAAAGCGTGCATGTTTCCCACAACTGATGTTTTCATCATTTAAACTACAGAAAAATAAATGTTTTCTTTCCCAAAATCCAATCAAGCAGTTTAACGATGAACATGTACTAACGCAGTAGTAATGTTAGGTAAGCACATTGGCTGTTTCTTACCATGGTGAGGAGCAGAGGAAGTATGATGGCAGGAATGAGGCCTTCAAACCGGATTCCCATGAGAACCAGCAAAGACGGGCCGTTCTGACACACAAATGAAAATAGAAACTGTGATACAACGCAGCACAAAATGTCCATCCTGAGGGACTGGAACACAGCACAGTTATCCAAGATCAACTCACCACGACGCCTGCAGATTCTCTCCATGCCCACACAAACAGGGGCGACAGCCCTGACACAATCAGGACGCTGGTGAAGCGTCTCTTTATGACAGCAGGATGGTCCCTGAGGACAGGGGACATGCACAGAACGTTATCCCAAGCACACAAGCAGGAGATACGAACAGCTTCTGTGCGCTGATAAGATGGAGGAGCTTTGGTTTAATAATGCACACATAGAGAAGCACATTAAAATCCTCCAACCAATAACAAATCTGCAAATGTAAAGTGATGCGTCGCAGACACACTCTGGTATCAATGTGAATGATAAAAGCTGCGCTGCACGGAGTCGTACTGAAGACAGAAACAACCCAAAAGTTTTCAGGTTCATTTCAGCCCCGTTCAGTCTTACTGATACATCTATAACTCACAACAGCAGTTGCCTGGCAGGATTTACATTGTAATGAAACTATTTAAACAGCGGGCTGTGAAACGGTTTTTTCATGCTTTAAAGTTGCCCATTTAAATGGTAACTGGTAAGTGGGCTGGTTCTTATACAGCGTTTTCTCCTCTGAGCACTCAAAAGACCGTCTGCAAGCGCCACAGTTTTCAGTGGCTAATTTAGTGGTCGTTGTGATCCGGGAGGTATGTGAGCTGTGGAAGCATGCATCACACGGTCACTGCAATTTACATCCATTCAGTTGGTGCTGAATACAATACAACAATGTTTTAAATCAGATTTCAGGTTTCTCCACCACAGCCCCCCCCCTCCCTCCTTCCCCTCTCACACCTGTGTCATTAATCTGAGTACAAATGAAGCAGGTGTTGACATTGTGGAAAACATCCTGTACCAAAAATGAAGTGTCCAGCTGAACTGAACGCCTACAGAGCAGTGGCCCACACATCATGAAAACCTTGGAACAGCTGATTCTACACCGACTGTGACTTCAGGTCAACAACATACGAGACCCCCGTCCTCTACATGCTTCACCGTGCCCGAGCTCATCTGGAGAAATCTGGCACTCATGTGATCTTTGACAAGCTCACAGAGATTACAGACTACCTGACAGAAAGACCACAGTCAGGTTGGAAAACTGTGTTTCTGGAACATTAATGAGCAGCACGGGGGCAACACAGGGGACTGTCCTGGCTCTGTCCCCTTTCACATCGTGTACAGCAGACTTCAAATACCATTCGGAGTCCTGCCACATCCAGAAACACTCAGATGATACTGCCATTGTGCTGTGTTTTAACAATGGGCAGAATTCTGAATATAAGGATCCTGTAAAAGTCACAAAAACGACCTCATGTTGAACACCTGTAAGATGAAGGAACTGATAGTAGATTTTCAAAGATTCAGGCCTCCTCTCCAGCCTGTGAAAGTCTTTGGGCTGGACATAGAAATATCTAGGGTTACACATAGGTAACAAACCACACTACTCCCTCAATACAGAAAAAATATACAAAAAAGGGCAGAGTTGGCGCTTGTTGCTAAGGAAACTAAGATCTCTTAACATCTGCAGTACAGATGTTCCTTCAGTCTGTGGGGGCAGGTGTGCTGTTCTAGTCTGAGCAGGGATGGAAATCGAGAAGCGGTCCCTAGTAGTTCAGGTCTTTGTTAGTCTTCTTGTCAGTTCAGCTCATCGGTTCCACTGGCACTTACACTACAATCAGCTGATTTCAGTTGATTAGTGGTACAGTCTACATATTTTTATGGCACAAAAAGACAGAAGCACCTCGTTATGCTGCTAACACAGCGTTGGCATCTTCACAGACGGCTCGCTGCGCCTAAGCTATCCAAGAAGACAGAGGAGTTAAAAAGCTGAGTGAATGCTGATCCGAGCCCAGCAGCCAGACCTTGACCTTCAACTGGTAGCAAAAGCAGTGATGAGCAGTCATGTTTGTAAATCACTGTGGTGATCGTTTTAAAGCAGCAGTGGGGAACTCCAGGCCTCGAGGGCCGCTGTCCTGCAGGTTTTAGGTCTCGCCCTGGGTCAACACACCTGAATCAGAGGATTTGTTCATTACCAGGCCTCTGCAGAACTTCAAGGATCAAGGACACGTCTAAAACCTGCAGGACACCAGCCCTCGAGGCCTGGAGTTCCCCACTCATACTTTAAAGTCTCCTTTTTTGGGTGAAGGGTTTCAACCTTGCTTTGTGGTCATACTTACATTCTAAAGGAGGACACACACATGATCTTTCTCTAATAGAGATTTGTGGTGGTGCCTGGGTCAGTTTACAGTTAAGAGGTAATTATCAGACAATTCATTTCAGATCATTTTACAGAGAAAGTAACACAGCAAAGAGTGTAAAAGTTACTTTTACCTGGAGTACTTAAGTAATGTACTGCATTATCTCTAAGAGCAGTGTTCTGTGTGATAGATCGCTATTTTGAGTAATGACCCAAACACAACAAAGAGGGGAAATACCTCCAGCATGCACAAACCTCTGACCACAGCGTGCAGACTAACGCCCGTAAATGTCTCGAGGGAACCAGTGAGAATCATTAACACAATCAATAAGTGATATCTGTGAATCACTAAACACTTATCAGTTCCCATCACTATGAATGGAGTAGTGATGACGATGAGCTGCCACAGTCTCTGCTACATTAGTACCATCACAGACAGACATTTGCTAAATGTCTGACGTTACTGTCAGTGCAACATTTTCCTCCCAGAACAGTTGTTAAACCAAACAGGAGGGTGGAGGCCAGCGTTTTGGTGCATTAGCTTTGTGCCATCCACTTGTTATGACTCTGTGGGCAGGTGTAGGCAGCTGCTCTCTACACCTGTGCAAACACAGTAGATAAGAGGGGAAGAAACAGGAGAGTTTCTATTGTCTAAGGAGCTGGGAAACAAAGGCGTCTGGACTTCTTTAATCCCGTGCATCTTATGGTCCGAAAAATACATATTTGATTTTTTTATTTGGCACACTGCAGTTTAATGTCGCAAAGCAGCTCTTTTTAACTTCAGTGGATATTACACATGGTTATGCTCAGGATATGTCAGCACATTTCTACTGGAAATGCCTTTTGGTTAAACTGTCAGCAAGGAATTTGCATTTGCACTGTTAAATGTTTATACAGCTTTAATGCACATATAAAACAGCTGCTTGTTTAAGTGAAAATAAATGGATGGTGGGGTTTTTGCGTGAGTAAAGTTGTGGAGTTTTACTTTGTCTCGCAGAAATTATATCGTCAGTTATAAGGTTATCGCAAATTTTCAAATATATATTGTGATATATATTTTTGGCCATGTCGCCCTGCTCTAGTAGCAAGGAGACTTATGGTGTAGCACTATACAGCTCATCTATCTTTGCACAGTCTCACGACTGCTATGAACCACTCACCATTCAGTCCTGGAATAAACACTTTTCCCTAGGAACAAGCAGAGAGTCACTGACGGGTCTTAGGCCCATTTGACTGGCGCTTTAGTAATCAGCTTCACAGCTACTACCAGAAACCACTCACAAGTGGTTAGAGAAGCTGCATTTTCTTTCCCTATATGACTGGGGCCAGCTAATATGAACATCGCGTCCTTTGGCGTTTGCTATTCACAATGATAGGTGACAGGATACATGCATCTTTACACACAGTGACACTTAAGACATCATCTAGTCTCTGCCCTGGTCCATTTTGAGTGGCAACATAATCAACACAACTTCAAAGTAAAGCCTGAGCCAGGCGCTTGTGATATAGTGGAGCATGAACATTTTGTAGTACAAGTATCACTTAGCTGCAGAATGAACCAAGGACTCATTTTTCCTCACAGAAAGGAATCCATTATTTTTTGCGCAAACTTCTGCATTGTTAGATTTTTGCCTCGACTGCCATCAAGTCGTTGCCAAACAGGATTCCATAAATTTAGCAGCCCTATTTTGTAGCCATTCAAATTTCAAGATCCCCTGATACAAGCACAGGAACGAAAGAAAAACAATCAGAGTCAAGCAAAACAAAGAAAATATTGCTTTTGCAATTGGCCACATTGTTATTAATACTTGCTCTGGCCCAGAATCTGACAACTGTTGCATCCATATATGCCCTTGTCAGATGACAGGAAATTCTTTGTGCGTCTGTGAGTGAAAAACTGAACCAAGTTTTACTTCAAGTTTAAAAAACACCCTGAGAAAAGAAGCTGTCCAAGTCTACAGCGGGGGTGGAGAACTCCAGGCCTCTAGGGCCCATCTCCTGCAGGTTTTAGGTCTCACCCTGGGTCAACACACCTGAATCAAATGATTCATTCATTACCAGGCCTGGAGAACTTCAAGAGAGGTTGAAGAGTCGTTTAGCCACTTAAATCAGCTGTGTTCAAGGACACATCTAAAACCTGGTCTGCAGTGTGCCCAGGTGGAGGTGAAGTAGCAACAGCCCTGGAAGCTCCTCACAGGTTAATCCAGTCAGAAACAAGGAAGCTGTCATTGCTTCATTACTGCACTGGTAGCCACACTGTGACATGAGTACTGAAGATTATCATAGAGATACATTTCCTCACTAAAACGAACGGAACCGCGTGAAAAAGCTCACTTGCAGATGCCACCAGCCTTTCTTCAGTGACTTTATAACATGCTCCACAAACATGCAGACTGATCAGTTATTTCTAATGACATATTAATTCAAACTTGAGTATGGGTAAATAATACAGGAATGAAAGCAGTTCACTGACTCTCCTTTCAAATAAGCCCCACTATAAAGCGTATGTAGCTCACCTCGGCAGGTGACTCCTCCACACATATAAGCTGCCAACATAAAAACAAGCCAGCATCAGACAGAACAGCACTGACAACCAACACAGGCCGTCGGGAGGGACCAGCTCTCCACTGCTGTGCTGCATCTTCTCTGTCAAAAAGTTGGCTGGTAAATCATCTTCCTCTGTCATAATGAAGGCGAGCCAGGACTAACCCAAACAGCTGCTAGGAACCAGAGGTGCTGCTGGGTCATTTACCAAGACAAAACATTGGCCCACACGAGCTACGAAGCTGTCAGTAAGCTCCTTTCAAATTGCGGGCTAACGGAGCTAACTGGTTTGCTAACGTCTACGGCGCTTTCTGATTACGTCATCGTATCTCCTTTCCGATATTTGCTGGTGCTACCGTTAGCGTCCTCCTCGTCTTCTTCTGGGTCGTGGCCGTGTGGGATCTACGATGCGATTAATCGACGATGCAGGTGCGTACCAAAAGTTCGCGATGGCCAAATGAAACTTTCTGAAGCTTGTATCGAAACAGGTTACTCGAAGCTTTTCAACACTGTTCTCTGTGGTGACATCTGGTGGCCAGAAATATGAAGAGCAGCTTCACTCTACAACTTGATATTAACTTCATTGAGCGTCATTCTGACTGCCCACTCTACAGAGGTGAATTGACAGTTTAGGTTTAATATCATGTAACAGTTCTGTGATATCGGGCCCATCTTTTTTTTTGTTGGGGGGGGGAGGGGGTGTTATTTGATTAATAAATACTTTGGATCATTTGAGCACGTGCCACACTGTTCTCCTCTTAGCTCCTCCACAGTGACATCTGCTGGCCCAATTTGGCTATGACTACATCTTCATAATGCTTTCCTGTGAAGCAATTCCAAACAAGCTTATTACACCAGACTGTCAATAACAGTGATCAACACTGAGGATTTTGGAGAAATCTTCACACAATCAAGGCAAGAAAAACATTGAGCCTGTTAAAGACAGCAGGCTGTGACTGTAACAATTAGTGTCTCCATTTGTTAACATTTGCGTTGCTCATAATAAATCCATTTATAAAGTCAAACGTACAGAGAAAAGACTGCTGTGTTTGCTGTAATACACAGAAACGTTCCTGAACTTTATCACTGGGAGTCTGGAGTTTTGGTCATAGTGTACCTGCATAACTGGGAAGAAAGGGGGGGATAGGAAAAACACATCTGTCAGGAAATAGTTTTTCTAGCTTTTGTTTCTATAATATAAATATACTTTTTATGGCGGCGCAGTGTGTGAGTAACAGATCATAGTGAGGATGATGTCACTCAATGCTACAAATAACATCTTCTGTTGAAAGCAGGAAAAATTGAGAGCACAGAAGGAGTCAGAGCTGACCTGCCTGTTTTATTTTCTCCTTGAAAGCAGACGTGGTTTTCATTAAGATATTTTAAGGATTTTACAGCCCAGTTGTTTTTATATCTATATAATGTATATTTGATTTTGCTTTGGGTTCCAGTGTTTAAGTGAATGGGTAGGCTAGTCTTCACGATCACCCCAACACTCTTGGGGATTCTCCAGTTTTCCAGTGTTTGGTTCACTCGGGTACATTTGGACCTCCACTATCCACAGTGACATTTCACGTCCTCCCTGCAGGACATCTCTTCAGACTTTCAGCCATTGCTGTGGTCTCTGGAATTAGGATAATTCCCTTTTCTTCATCCTCCAGCATCATTAGATGGGCAGCGCTTTTAGACATGTGCAATAATTTCACACTGTTCTGATGAGAATGGGCTAATGTCAGTGTGTAGGCCTGCCAAAGGTGCTCCTACAGGTTATCCGAGGTCATAAGCACATTGGAGCATTTGGTATGTGCAATGTTTCAATGTGTATCCACCTCTTGAATTAGCTTCTGCACCGGTCCAAGGCGGGTGTTCAGTGCAGGCCAGGCTGATTTGCTCCTGCACCTCTGTCAGCCTCTATTACAAAATTAGCCAACAAAAAGTGATGAATTCAAGTGTCACTGCAGCAGCAACTTAAACAATATGGTGCCGTTTAGAATATTGGAATAAAATAAAGGAACTCTTCTTTTCAGTGGTACTGAAAAGCACTTTGTTACAGCGCTGAAGCTACAGGTGAAAGACTGTAACTATAGAAATAATGACCAAATGCTCAGGGACTGTATTGTATTTGGAACTTGCTCATCAATAGTAAGGGAAAAGCTGCCCAGCTAAGGAGCAGACCTAAACAGACATAGGCCCCTCCCATGAGTGAGCTCAGATGCAACTAAAGGCTATGGTTAGCAACAGCCACGAGGCCCACTCAATACAACATAAACATGGAAGAAAGGGCACAGTAGGGCACGCTGATGGGTTACGCGAAAGGTTAGAAGCACCAGTTAAGGCTCGTGAGACACCACAGTACACAAGCAGAATGCTTGACAGTGTCTGAAATACAAAAAATATTAGTTTGCAAAAGCCTGTAGAACAAAGTTTCACATGAATCAGGTTGTAGAGAAGTGCGCTCATCAAAGAAATCCACGAGGACTCAGAACTGTTTGTGGTTACTGTTACTGTAACTGAAGATGAGGCTGGCGCACATGCAGACACAGAACTTGGATGCGAAAATGTAAAGACAATATTCAAGCTGGATACCAGTGCACAGACCAGCATCATCCCCTCATGGCAAATAAAGGGCACTCTTCTTCTTAAAACCATGGATTTTTTTGCACCCAGCATTTAACACAAGCTTCTTTTTTTTGTCTTGTGATACAGCCTGAGTTTGTAATCGGTCTATAATCTTTAGTAATGTAATTGATCTTAGTTTCCCCAGTACCCTTGTGTCTTTACCCTGTTTGGGGACGAGGATTATTGTGCCTGTTCTTTGTTTTCTATGTTTCAGAACTTGGTTTAAGTCCATCCAACCTTTCAGTGCAGGTTTTAGAATCATGTCCAATTTCTCTGACTTTAGGTCAGAGACACAATATAAATAATTCATTCATTTTTCAACATGAAACCTTTTTCCTGAACTTGACTATATGCAGATGAATAAAGTATAACATTGCAAAGCCTCTTTGCTTTTCTGTTGTTTTACATGGTTGCATGGTCATAAATGGTTGCATCGCTTTGCCTCAATTTTTAACAGCTCATGGTTTTCCTGATACATTTATTTGACGCATCATATTTTGCCACACATACCTTATTGTAGAATTCTGTAACACAACCTTTTGTTTCAAATTGGCTTTTTATTGAATAAATCATGCAAATAAAGCAAAACAATACTAGATTTCCTCGACAAACAATCACCAGTGAAACATCTAAATACATCTCATACTTTATTGGCCTCCTAAAATGGAAATCATTCAGTAAAGAACAGCTACTGTTACCGTTTCTGTCCTGTAAATCTACATTTCAGTGACATTGCAAAACGGAAAATACTCCCAGGAGACACAGTGAATGATCTGAAATGACTAGCACATAATAAACTGAACTGTGTATTAATCTTTGTGTTATTTTATTGTATTTTTTTAATTGCTTGTCTTTTATTATTTTATTCTATTATGATGTATGTGTTGTTGTTTTAAGAAACTGGCCGTATGGCACTTTTGAACTGAGCTGAGGAGAGAGAGGGGGAGACAGAGGTGACATCGCACTGTCTGCCGTTATTTGTGGGAGAATCGATTCTGGCGTAAGATGAACGGAAGAGAGATGATATTGCTTGTGATGCTCTGCGCTTCCTGTTCTTCTCCATCACTCCTCTTTACGCTTCCCAGGCCGTGCGGCGACTGAAGCCCCCGCAAATATTCCCATCAACAGGAGGAATTCCACACAGATCCGAGCCGTCCTGGACCTCTGCTGGCAAACATCCGCGGGTACGGGCCTGTTTATCCCCATTTTCCATCACCTGTCTTTCTTACAGCTTTCCTCTTACAGCAGCTTCCTCTACAAAACATCAAATGTCAGGAGACGCCAGCCGGCCTGTCTTGTGCTTTATTCCTCCTCTGGAGAGGTGATGGGAATCCAAGTCGCCTTTTAATTCGTGGATTGTTGACTTTATCGCCTATTCAAGGCTGACGTGAGTCTTTATGAGGTAAAGAGATTTATGTGATGTCAGCCTAATGTGAGTGATGAAGAACGGGTTTCGTTTGGTTGTTATATCGGCTACTGTGTACATGTCGTACACAGATATGCGTGCTTCTGCATGGAGGGTGTGTGCTCGCAGTATGTAGCTTATGTTGTTCGTGCGGGGGAATCACCTACGTAAATGTCTTATTTTTCTCTGTGTAGCCTGTTTGTGTGATCACATCTGCTCAGATTACTACACGTCCTCCGTGCACACAAACATGGCCCGGAAAAAACGCAATTGGCTGCAATCCGCGCACACAGAAGGAATAAGAAGAGGAGAAAGAAGCCATATTTGAATCATCTTGTATCACAAATCAAGCCTTTGTGGTGCATTAACACTTCCATGTGACACTTCCAGCTTCTAGACGTTTCCAGAGTGAATGAGGCGGAGGAGGATTTGGTGGGATGGTCCTTCAAAAAGGCTCAGAGCGTTAAAAGTAACAGTCCTTCGACGATATTCACGATGCAACAATAATTAGTCATTTGTAACTTGATGGGATGTGACCGTACACAAAACACACGTCTGTGCATTCTCAGTGCTGCTGAGGCTTTGTGCTGTGATTCGGCTGCTAGTGGCTACAGACGCGAAGCCAAACTATTCCAAAGCACATTACTGTCACCAAGATCACTAATGAATGTATGCAGTTCTGTGCTGTAGTGATAAAAATAACACAAAACAATAGTCTCACCTTTACAGTTGTCCTAGGATAAAATACTCAAAACCATTTTTCAATATCACATGAAATTTGGACCCCATCCTGCAACAACTCTGAACGAGAAGAAGCAATTCTATGAAAATGTAAACGATAATTATCAACCAGTTTTGTTAACCATAAGGTAGATTTAACAAAGTATTTAAGTTTAGAGGTTGTATTCGCTGTGCAGATGATTTAGCTCTATGCTGAAGACACAATATATTTCAGAACCAACTAATGAAGGGTACAACAGTACACTACCTAACACATTCAAATAATTAAATTATTGTATAGGAAGAGAAATATGGAAATGTTAAAAATTAACTTTGGATCAGTGTGATTCCAGCTATGCTAAAATGAAGGCATCAAAAACAGAGCTTTCTTTGATCCAGCGACGGCCTGCATTTTAAAACTGACCTCACAGCGTGCTACAAAAAATAATCTCAGTTCAGCTACAGATTTCCTGCTGCTCTGCACAGCCAGCAACCCACCTGGTTCTCCAGGCGTCTGTAATCCAGTCAGCCACAGCTCCATATCCCACCGGTGACCCATTCAGCCCAACA